ATATATTCATATCAATTAAGCAAATGTCATTTAAAAATGTGAGGCACATGCTGTCTGCGAATGCAATTTTTGTTGAATTCAATTAATTCCATGCGAATAAATTACGGAAATTTCATTTAATTTACATATGTGAAATATTGTGGTATTGTTGTGGCACACACGCACATACACATACTTAAGCTCTCGCCTTAAACACAAAAATACAAAGTTTTTTGATTGTTAAATTTAACTCTGCATTGAGCCAGCTTAACTTTTATTTCCGCAAAAAAAAAAAAAAACAAAAAAAAACGCCAACTCAAAACAAAATATAAACAAAATTTAAAGTTTTAATAGTATTTATGCGTTAGACAGCTCAGCGAGCGGCAGCTAGGAAGGATTTTTCAACCAAACCGAATTTCCAGCGGCGCCGCAAAGTATGCAACAGAAAATGAAAACTGAATTTGTGTTTAGCCATAACCAAAGATACTTCAATATGTTTCAGGGACAATCGATGTTAGTCGGTGGACTTAATGCGGTTTACTTGCGCCGAATCGAATGGCCAAATAATCAACATTTGCTCTTGGTTTATACAGAACATATATACTAGATATATGCGGTTAAATACATGTATATACATATATTTATATATAGTACGTACAATGTGAGTATATTTATTTGTGTTTAGAGTGCCAAAGCACTTGTGTATTTGTATTGCCTTTGACCGCACACTCACTCACACACACACACCAGCATACACTTGAAATGTTGTCCCATTTATTGTTGTTCTGCTTGTTGTTCGTGTGTTTTTCTTTTTCTCTTCATTTTTTCCCACTCGTTTGTCAAGCACTTTTCGATTTGCCATTCAATTTGTGAGCGTGTGTGTGTGTGTGTTTCCAATTTTTGTTTTTTAAACCAAAAACTAAACAAGCTGAAAGTCAAGTCTCTCACACACGCACACACGCGCACACACACTCACACACCCACCTTGACGGCTAGCTTCGACTAGCTCTATGTTTTGGGTATTCGAAAGCCGTTCATTGGCCGCTCAAAGTTCGATTCTGACGACCTGCGACGCTCTGTTGACGGTGATGATGATGATGATGTTCGTCGTTTGCTTAATAATGACGCACTTTTGGCTCATGAATTTTTCATGCGCTTTTGTCTGCCGCACGCGGCCATTTGTGGCAGTCGACTGACTAGCCCAACTGAACACCTTTTGCCAGTTGGTCCTCCTGTCGTGTCCTGTGCGAGGACATTCTCGCCAACGACCAAAAATTTCCCAGTATACGAGGCACGCTCTCTGCGCCGGCGCACTCTCAGCGGCAACTTAATCTGGCTGTCGGCTGAGTGGGTTGACTGGGTGGTGCTGTGGTTGGGTGGCTGGTGTCAAGCCTGGAGGGCAAAATTATCAGACGCAGCAGACGGATATGCCAAGCATTTTGCCTCAAAATATAAGTCATTCAGTTATTGTAATTACAATGGCATAAAGCGCAGGAAGACGCAGCTTAAGGCGCATCAGGGCACACACACACACTAATACACACTCACTAGCACACACACACATAGAATTAGCTATTTTGTAGGGCAGTGTACGCTAATGGGCAATTACGAGTGTAAAATCTGATGCTTTATAAACTTTGACGCCGTGTCAGCTGCTAATAAGCATTGCGAATGCCATAAAAGCCGCACGGACGTCCAGTCACTAGGATATTCAGGACTTGAAAACATCTGAGCGGTTATGTGGCTTACCCACATGCCGCAGCCCGCACAACTTGCAACTTTTCCAATTAGCGAAAAAAAGGAAGCAAGGATATACAACTTTATATACACATATATCTATATACATATATCTATATATATATGTATCTATCTAAAGGAAAACAGCCGTTCGAGTCATCTCGAGTCGAAGTTGGCATTGGGCTTTGCTCGTTCGCTGCTTGGCTCTTGGTCTTTTGGTCTTTTGGTCTTTTGGTCTTTTGGGGCTTCTTGGCCACAGCAAATGTTGCGTAAAACAACTTGCCGATACGGGCTGCTGCTTCTGGCCCCCTTTTTCTGCTGGCTAGCAAAGTCCGCCCCCTCGCGCCCGCACTCGCCCCACTTAGCCACTCGCTTGCAATTGAACAAAAGAGCAATCGGGAATTATGAGTGGCGCAAACTTTTTAAACAACAATAACAAAAAGAAACGAACGAACAAGAACGAAAAATGCCAAAATAAAAATCCATAAATACACACACACAATATGAGTGTGTATGTGTGTGTAGGGTATATGCAGTCGCTCAGTGCTTCAGCACAAATTGATAGAGTGCAAAGCAATGTGCAACAAAATTCAATGCGGATGAACTTTTCTTTTCAATGTAAATCTCGTTCTCTGTGTGTGTGTGTGTGTGTGTGTGTGTGTGTAGCATAAATTTACGATTATTTATTAAAACATTCTGACAGAAAGTTTTTCTGCCTCCAGATTTTTCACTTTCTCAATTGCTGAATTGTTATATTCCACTTTCTTGAGCATTCATTGCTTTACAACTTTTTGATGACAGTTTTATTAGCCAGTTTTTCCTGTTAACACCAACAAAAAATTTGTATATATACATATATATAAGTGGAGAGGAATACATTTCTTTGCATATTGCTGGCGGGTGTAACTTACGGAATTATGATCTATTTTTTATAGAACCTAAGTGGCTTGATTACCAAGCATGAGCTGCTCTTGGCTCTGGGCTCTTGGCTCTGGGCACTTGGGTATCTGCACTCTCCACTCTCCTCTCTCTCTCTCTGTTCTCCTCTCTCCTAGTGCGTTAGCATTTAATAGCAGCTGCGAATGGGGTGGTCTGGGAGAAATATGCTTTTAAGCTGGAATTATTTTTTCGTGGCATTTATTGTTTTACTTTTCGAGCATCTTTCACTAATTGGATGAATGTGTCGGCTGCCCGGACAGCTCGGCTAATGAGGATTTTGGGTTGAAGTCTAGACGAGACAGTGAATCGTGAGTCGTGAACTGTGAGCGAAACAAATCTATTTACAAAGGGGCATGCATAATTAATTTTGATACATAATTATATTGCTGAAATTGAATAACTTAATCTTT